ATTTTTCAGGATTGTTGTGGTAGTATTTTTATTTTTATTTTTTTCCGCTACATATATGTTGCAAGTCCTGAACCCTTCTTCAAACTTGCCGGCTTTTTCATTGAACATGCATGTGTTACAATTCTTTGATTCAATTTCCATCCTTATTATCTATAGGTGTTCTCTTAAGTGTGAATCCAAGCATATAAATTGTGGAGAACCTTCCCTCCTTGAAAGCACTGTATCATCTGAATCTGTATGGCGGAATAATTAATAATATTTAGTGGATATCGTAAGCAGAATAATATAATAGAAACATATGAAGATTTTGATTGCACTAGTTATGTCAAGTGTATCATACGAGATAAACATACTCCAAACACAATTTATGAAGATGGTTTCACAATGAGAGATGGGCAATTTTATGATGTATTGAGATACGATGAAGCAGAGGACACCGATGCCAAATATTACATATTGTCAATGACAAATAAACAAGACTTAACAAACGGCTTTAGGTATATTTAAGAATTGCTCATGCAACACCAAAATTTGAAAATGCACAAATATTATAAAGCGTTGAAAGACAATCATGTCATTGTACATAGTGTTAGAACCGATGCTTTCACTATTGATGGGAATAATATTGAGAAAGCAAGAACATTGATCAAGTTTTCAATCAAGAGGGGAGGATGGAGGGCTCAAGATAACAAACAAGTATCACCGCCAAGCGATATATACAAACTTAGGGGTAATGAACCATCAGCATTTCCAACTTACAAGAGTTCAATTAGCTCCTGTTGAAGACGAACAGGACACCAAAAGCATCCGTGAGCAAATAGTGGCCTGCAATTTTGTTTTGATAAAAGCAAGCCTGGCTGGAAGCGGTAAGCGTTATATAGGTAAGTATATTAAAAGACTAGGTTTTTACAATGTTAATTGTATGTCCTCAGAACAAGCAGACGCAAGAAACCGAAGCCGATGCCACAACATTAAACGCATGTTTTTGTATTCCTATAGAAGCTGGAGAAGGGCTACCGAGTTATGACCATTCCGAGGAAAATTGTATTGTGTTTGATGAACTAGGCATGGCAGGCAAGCATATTTTGAACAGAGTTAGGGGGTTTAAGGACAAGCATCCTGAGAAGGTAATTATAGGAACCGCTGACGGAGAACACTTGAAACCTACAGCATATTTCACTAACACCCAAGACCACGAGAAATATTCACATGATTGTCTCAATCAAGCATTTGCGTATAAGATTCATTTTAAGATACCTACAAGACTTAAGACAGAAACAATATATTATGAATCTGAATGAATCTAAATGATATTTATAGTTTTAGGAAAGACAGATAAATACGAAATCGGAGAACATGTGATATGGAGAGTTTATAAAAAGGAAATGGGGCAGGTGTTCAATGTAAGTATTACTTATGAACTTATTAGTATTGATAATAGGACACTTGAAATTCAAGATATCAACAGTAAAAGACATATTTTCAACAAACACTACGACTTTGGACAAACACTTTATATATGCCTACTGTAGTACTTGTCATTCGTCTCAGGGCGGTTCGGTTGATAACAGTATTACTATACATGAATGGGACAAAGCACATTTGGTAAGTCGTGAGTGGTTTGGACAAGTGTCACGAGATGTGGAGATTTCAATCAAGTCAAAAATTTCATCATAAAGATAGGGAGGATGAACTGAATGAAGCAACATGAACAAGATATGTAGAGCATAAACCTAAACAATATATATTCCAAGATGAAGAGAAATAGGCAATAAAGCATATATTGATGTCAAATGGTTATTTGACCCGCTTAATACGAGATGTAATAAATGCGGACCTGACTTTGCAATAGGAATGGAAAAAGGGTTCGTGTCTAGACTAGGCAACTCTGTGTCTCACCACGAGGAAAGCTGTATATCTTGTTGCTCGAATTGTAATCGTAGGAATAATAAAGTGACTTAAAGGAAAGATCACTTAGGATAAATAAGGATACGAGCAGATATGAGAATGGCAAGATTTACGAGATAACAGATGTGGGATACAACAAATGCTATATAGGTTCTACCTGCGAAGAACTAAGCCAACGAATGAAACGACATAGAGCATATTGTTTCAGTACCTGCGAGGCAACAAAGCGAAACTCAACTTTGCAATTTGTAAAATTTGACTTATTGAGGTGTGCCCTTGCCCTTACCACGAAGGGAAGGATACTATATAGAATCAAGCAAATGTCTAAATATAATGATTGCAGGTAGAACTGTTCAGGAATATAGACAAGACAACAAGGAAAAGATACCCGCTAATGCCAAAAGGTATCAGGAGGAACACAAGGAAGAACTTAAGCAATACAGAAGTATAATGCAGAATACTTAAACCAACAAAACAAAGAACGCTATGAAGCAAACAAGGAATACTACAAACAAAGACACAAAGAACATTATGAACAAAGTATTGAAGGGAAAGGGAGAGACATGAGAAGAACTACGAGTTGAACACAGAGAAAGTTTGAGCAAGTCAAACACAAAACATCGTTTGTGGTTGTGCATCGGTTCATCGCAAAGGTGATGAACCAATGCATTTATCGATCAAGAAACACCAAGAATGGCTAACGAAACAGCAAGAACAACAATAACAAGAACCCGAAGAAAATTAACATATCTTCTTTGGTATAATGAGCAATAGTAAAGAATATATAATTGATAGTATTTATTTTGATAAGGGGGGGCTTGGCTCACGCCAACGAGCACTGCAGGAAGCAAGACAAAAGGAAAACACAATAAGTATAAATGAACGCGAAGCCAAGAGGCTGGAATACCTGATGCTCCATGCCAAGAGTATCAAGCAGGTGTATTTTTCATTAGTGGTATTCCTAAACAAAAGTTCAAAGCTGGACTGCTAATTATTGATCTTTTTTGCTAAATATATGGTTGTAGTGCCAACAATGTCAAAGGATACAGCCGATGTCGCAGAAGGATTGATTGAAGGCTTGCGTAAAATGGTTCGTAAAAATGTGAATTAATTTACACAGACGATGTGCCTTGATGTAGTAGCAGTGTGATAAAATAATACTTGGAAGAAGAAAACATCAAGCAATACATAACAAGAGGACATGCAAATTTTAGCGAACGCACGATCAGGACATTCAAGGACATGCTCTATAAGAGAGTTAACGATGAAAAGAAAGGAAAACACGTGCAATGGAATGATTATATATTTGAAATATTGCTTACTTATAATAATCATTTAGTGCATTCATCTAGCGGTCTCACGCCTAACGACGCTACATAAACTTCTAAACATTTAGCAGCAAAACTAAATATGACAACAAGGGCCAAGCAAAATAGAAAATACGAAGAGTTAAATGTAGGTGATAAAGTTAAGGTAACAACCCATTATTTGAAGGGAGAAGACACAACTAAGAAGATAGAAAAATCATTAGGACGACAGTATTACTAGTTGGAACACTTCAACCGCCCTGTATTGAGGCATGAGTTATGTAAGGTATAGTTTGAGTCTGTGAAAAACATATTCTAAAGAAATAAACACCAAATATATTATACTATAAATATAGTTTCGTAAACTACCAGTTGAGGCATTAAATAATATTATGTCATATACATTTGGGAAACCTGAATATATTAAAATATCACATAATTGTAATAAAGGATTGAAGAGAATACAAAACAGACATACAATTAACAGAACTGAAACAAACATGAAATCAAAGGTTTGTATCAATAGTAGAGGTGATAAAGTAAATAATAATAATAATAATAATAATAAAACATAATAGTACAAAAATGAATATTATGTTTCAAGGAACGTGCCATTAAGCATTGAACGTATTGAGATACAATTATGAAAGAAGGAGATGAGATAGATGCATTGATAGATATGTATTTAAATGATGACGAATATGAATATTTTGAAGCAACTATAATAGTTGATGTAGAACTTAAAGCAATATTTGATCATTTAGTTTATGATAAAGAATACATTTTCAGCATTCCGAGTTTTTACTTGAATAGTAGTCTTGATTTCATGTCTTCTATAGACCAAAATGGTATATATGATGTAATGGATGACGCTGTTGCAATGATAAATAGAGACATAGATGATTGCAAATATGGAATTCATATTATCGGAATACAGAACATCAATTTTAAACCAATTGCCACTGAAGATTAACTTGCAAACATACTATAGTTATACCATTTCTACCTTATATGCTATACTGATATTTCAAGTAAATTCTACAAAATGGCCACGCCTCAAAAAAACGATGAAATATTTGATGAAACGAAGGAGGGGAGGTGCTCCATAATTTTTAGCCTTGGATTTACATTTAAAGAGAGAACACCTATAGACAATCAGGATGGACATTGAAAGAACGTATTGTGGCACGAGCATGTTCACTCAGAAAGCTGACAAGTTTGAAGAAGGGTTCAAGACTTGCAATACATGTAGAGTGTAGAGCAAAAAATAAAGGATACTACCACAACAACCCTGAAAAATGCAGATAAAGAAGGGAAGATAGAGCGACAATCCTGAAAAACATCAAGAAAGGCAAAGAGACTACAGAAAGGAATACAAAACATGAATGCATTACTAGCACCTGATGAAATCAGAATCATAGATGGCAAGAAGCATCTCAAGTGCTTAGCATGTAGAGCCAGCTTTCTACCGTATCAATGGGAGAAACACATGATGGAGAGGCATAGGGAAACTTAGAGTGATTGATACAAGATTTGGAGAACATATTCTACCATTTACTAGTTAGGAGTGATGATTTTGATATTGCCCGAGGCGTGCCTGAGAAATGATTAAAGTTTGGGCGGGGTGCAGTTGAAGTCTCTGACGAGGCAAGGCCCCCCCTGTCTTTTTCGCAACAAAAATGGGTCCCCGAACCCCCGTTTTTCGTAGTCGGCAGCTCAAATCCCGTGGGCTGGGAGGGGGGGGGCAACCTCGCTCTTTTGCGTCGCCCGTGTGACGATGGCCAGATGAAGATCTTGCAGCGCGTGTGGTGCAGTCAGTGCTGACCGTGCCGACGCACCCGGCGGCTGCCCTGGTGTGAGGTGACGAAGCCAACAGAAATTGGGAGTGTTTCGAGGGTAGCCTTTGTGGCAAGGGGAACCCCCCCAGCAGTTTGCCACAAACCTAATTTGGAAAGAAATTGTTGGATGGTGCTTGAGGCAAAGCCAAAAACGAGCCGCGAAGCCTTTTGACGTACTGTTGACAAGGGGAAAAAACATCCCCCCCTGAGAAGGTCCAGAAGGTTTTTTCCTCCAAACGCTGAGATTTTGGAGAGAGTTGGGAATGCGGATTCCAGAACTGCAGAAAGATTCCAAAAGGAGCTTCGGTCCTATTGCTGGAGCTCAAAAGTGGGTGCGGCCCAGATGGCCCTAGTTAACAGGATGGGCACCCACATGATTGACATGGGCTGGGCACCTCCTGTGGGGTACCTGCCTCATGTGACCTTCTCAAACCATAACTTCTTGAATGGAGTGGCTGATGTTGGCTTGGAACTGCTTCATGGCTGCGCTCGGTTGCACGCTGGCAGCTTTAATTGCTTTTACATTTCAAAGTACATGGACAAAATGAAAGCCGGGTACTGCAGTATGAGCATGGGGAAAAAAGGCAGCAGCAGTCACCCGGCGGATTTGAACTGTTTGATTATTTCGGGTGGGCCCTCCGTATTTTTTTTGTGGGGGCCAAGAAAAGCTTTCATGCAGTCCAGGTTTTCAAATTGTGGAGTATTGGGAGGGTGTTTTTGGGGGACCTGTCCACAACAAGTGCTTTACGTCCGGAGCTTGAGGCCATCTTGCCCGCTGCCCCCCAAAAAGGATCGAGGCCGCCCTCTGGAAATCAACCATGACTTTAGAGGCCAAAGACGTTTGCTGGCTTCGGCTTCGGGGGGGGGTTCATTTGTTGAGTAGAAGTGCGGGCGCACTTCCACTTTTTTTTGTTGGTATCAACTGTTAACTTCGGCAACTCTGGTGAGAACTCACTTTTTACCAACGTTAACTGGAATTTATGCAATCTGGGGTAATATTAATATCTCAGCCAGAAGCTGGTGTCATTTCCCCTCAAGCTTCCACTCAGCGACTGGGAGCAGTGGAGGGCGTCAGCCCGACCGATCGTTGCCCTCACGGCTGAGGTCCATGGCAAGCTACCTCCGGGCTATGTGCCTCCTGCTGCCCTGGCGCGCGCGCAAGCTCGTGGTATGTTTCGCAAAATGGCTGTGGGTCAAAAATATGTACCCAAAATGGAACCCTGGTAAATGGAAACTTGGACCAAAACCTGCGGTCCCCTGGTGGTTTAATTTTGACCCACACCCAAATGGCCCCCTTTTGGTTGGCATCTAAAGGGAAGCCGAAACGGAAACCACCATGTTCCGGTTCCCGGTGTTGGGTCCTAGGACCCAACTTAACTGAAGCCTGAGGCCGCATGCTTGGCGCCCCATGTTT